ACAAGTGTAGAGTCCTGCACTTGAGATAGAAGAATCCCAAGCATTGTTACACGCTGGGACAACTGGCTAAGCAGCAGTTCGGCAGAAAAGGACCTGGGAATTACAGTGGATTAGAAGCTGGATGAGAGTCAACAGTGTGTCCTTGTAGCCAAGAAGGCTAATGAAATAATAGGTTGCATTAGGAGGAGCATTGCTAGCAGGTCTAGAGAAGTGATTATTCCTCTTTATTCGGCTCTGGTGAGGCCACATCTGGAGTACTGCATCCAGGTCTAGGTTGGATATTAGGAAAACCTATTTCCCTAGGAGGGTGGTGAAGCCCTGGAATGGGTTACCTAGGGAGGAGGTGGAATCTCCACCCCTAGAGGTTTTTAAGTCTCCACTTGACAAAGCCCTGGCTGGGATGATTTCGTTGGGATTGGTCCTGCTTTGGCCAGGAGGCTGGACTTGATGTTCTCCTGAAGTCTCTTCCAGCTCTATGATTCTAGGATTCTATGAGGCAAAGAAGTGGGGAGTAAAGGAAAGTAAAATTGTATCCCCACCCCCACATCTTCCCTCAGCTCCAGTCTTGCTCCTCTCAGCCCCATGATCCAACTCAGTCCAATCCCTGCTCCTCAGGGCATGCCCCTCAGAGCAAACCCTCCTTCACCCGCATCCTACCTCCACATCCCTGTGCCCTCAGCGTGAACACCGGCAGGGCAGCAGCGCTGGGACTCGCAACCCTCTGGGAACAGAGGTGGGGTAAGGAGGGGCCGAGGGCGGGGGGAGGAGGAAAGGAGAGTGACTTCCCTGCCTGGCCCAGCCCTTTATCGGGGCTCACCCCTCACCTTCAGGCTGCTGCTCTGGGTCTCGAACAGGCAGAGCCTGGGACTGCTCAGGGCTGGTTCCAGTCTGGCCTAGTGCAGTGGGGCACTGGGGAATGGTCTCCACACACCCCACACACCCCCTCTAGGGAGCAGTGCAGCGCAGCCCAGATCCTGGCACCCCACGGAGTAGTCGGCCGCAGCTTATGACCTGCCACCCCTCCCCGGATTTGCAGAGAAGCTCCAGCCCCGCTCCCTCCTGGAGCAGGGAGCAGAGCCTGTAGTGAGGGGGGAAGGTGTTAACCCCTTAGCTCCTGGCAGCTGCATGCACAGGCTGGGCAGGGGCAACCCCAGGGACATGGAACCAAGTGTGGGGTCATTCTAACCACTCCGCTTGCTGGGCCTCTGAACTCCCACACCTTCCCCAGGCTCCGCTCCCCATTTGCCCTTCCAGCAAGATGCCAGGCTGGTTCTTCAACCTGCAGCTGCGCAGTGACCGCAAGGCTCCAGCAGCTGCTGGGAGTACGCGGGGCTAAGCTCCCACAGCGCATACTACTCCAAGTCAGCTCCCATGCTGTAGATTGCCAACCCCTGCAGTAAGTATTCAGGGCAGGGACTCCCTCTTACTATGTATTTATACAGTTCCTAGCAAAATAAGGGACTGAGCTCAGTTGAAGCCCTGAGGCTACTGTTGTACAAACAACTGGTAGGAGGAAAGCTTGTGTTAGTGAAGGGCACTTGGAGGAAATGACAGCAGAGATAAGCAGAAATGAGGTTGTGCAGACACAAACAGAAGTGAAGACCAGAAACATGAAGATGAGTGAAATACCCAAATGGTGAGAAAGGAAGATTATTTCTTCAGCAGCATTTTTGTTTGCTCTTTTGATGTGCTCATCACCACAGTATCTGAGTGCGCCTCCTACTCCTCCCCCCTTGATACTTCATACTGTGGATATGCTGGAGGAGAGTTAGGCAAGAGAATAGAAAGGAAATGACTAATGCATGAACAAGGGTTATTATAATGGAAAGAAGGATAAAGAACATTAAGAGATTTTATAGAGGGAAAAATGTTGAGCAGGAAGATGGAGGGCACGGAACCAAGGATGCGAAAATTCTGTTGCATGGGATAAAATTAATTCTTGAAGAAACTAGTGGACCTGGCTCAGACTGATAGTAGTGAGTGAGGATGTCAGGAAACAGATATAGATAAGAATTGGCCAGGTTGAAGGTATAGAAGATCAGTGCTATTTTACAAGGAAAATGGTTATGCTCAAAGAGGTAAGAACAAGAGCGTAGAGAAGTTAAGTCTACCTGGTGCCTGGATGTTAGGCACTCAGTGTGGAAACAGGAGCAGAGGAAACAGAGATGAAGAGTTAGTAGAACTGGGAATCAAAAAAGAGAGGAGCAATGTTAGCAGGAAGGAGGCACCTAATAACTGCAGTGAAGTTCAAATTTAAGTCACAAATATAACATTATGGGCTCCTAATTGAGAACCAAGTACGCTAAACTACTCTGAAAATCTGGCATATTCATTTATGTATCTGACTCTTCAGATCAGTGCCTAGATTTAAAAAGTTGTCCCTCATTCACAAAATGATTTAATGACCTAAATTCATCTAGTTATAGAAGAGCATAACCATTTGAAATTTTCCTCCTGTCACACCATAAACTTGTGGGTTTTAAAAAAAATTGCTCCCAGATTGAGAACGTATTTCAGCCTAGAGCAAACTTTTATAGTCCTATTAACCATTGAAAACAACTACTAATGGAAATTCTGACACAGTTTTAAGGTTAGCTGTGCCTGAAGCATAGGACAAAGCTGTTCTCCACTAAATAAAAATGTAAACATTAAAAAGACATTTTATGTGGATTTTAATGGAACTGGATGCAGACAGCAAGGGTATAATGTAATAAATGAGTAAACCAAGTCTGCAGGATTTAAGGGGAAAAGCTGCATGCCACTGGAAATTCTTGGAATAAACTATGAGGAAACAGCAGAACCTCAGCGTAAGTTATATGAACTTTTAGTTTATTGTGTGTGACTGAAAGCACAACTAACAACATATTTTCTCTGTCATGAAGGGAAATTGTCAACGTAATGCAGCTGAAATGTTAAGAAATATTTTCTACACAGACTTATGATGCAACCTTCTAAATAAAAATACAGCGTTTTCCATTTCTGTAATTTATCCACAGTGTTCCGTCAGTGCTGTGTCAACATGCTATAATGAAAATGCTGACAGTCTTGCGTTAAATATTTAGGGATTTGAATTTAGGCAGTAAAACTCACTATGGGCTGAATGAAAGGTTTCAGTTCAACAGTTAATACAGCCATTTAAAAAAATATGGTTGCTATTTTAAAATGGTAAATTCTACTCTCACATATTTGTCCAGTGCTCTTAGCAATTTCATCTGGAGGTGCTTAATATAGCCAAGGGCAAAACTTGGCCCTAAGAAAGACTCAGACTAGAGAGCAGAGAGGGAGTTAACTGAACAGTTTTAAGGTTACAATATTTCACCAAATGAATTTTGGATTCAAATTTAGACCCTGCTCCTAAATTGCTGAATGGGTTTGTCTGCAATTGACTTAGTTTTTAAAATTATTACTATATTTTTCACTCTCATTGGTACCTGAGATATTTGGGAAAAACCAGAATATGTTCTTGTAAGACAAGATACCTAATACAGTAAGGGTATGTCTACACTAGCCCCCTAGTTCGATGAGGTGTAACATTCCATGAGGTGTAACAGTTAACTCAAACTAAGGACTTAGTTCGAGTTAACGTCTGACTGCCGCGTGTAGCCGCGGGCAGTTAATTCGGATTAAGGGGATTTAAAAATGGTGCCGGACGTTAAGATGCAAATAAAGCCCGGAATATTTAAATCCTGGGCTTCATTTGCAACTTCGAATGCCTACATTAGCCTCCCTAGTTTGAACTAGGGGGCTAGTGTAGACATACCCTAGGAGAGGGAAGTTCATTAGAAAAATACCTTGGTTTTTGCAGTCAAGTCTCTATTGGTAGAGGCCACCAGCAACTTATTAGCCCCTTGGAGTGGGGCATGGCTTTGAAACTCAAGTCATATAATGAATGCCTTCAGTGGCTTCACAGTACTAAACTGAAGGCACAGAGCTCAAAGATGTTATTAAAATATCTTATTTTGTTACATTTGGCAAATACCTGCAAAACCCTGAGACTTTGACTATATCTATTCTACACACCTCTCAGCAGTACCACTGTAAGGTCTCCTGTGTAGCTGCCCCTTGCAGGCCAGAGAAAGCTCTCCTGCCAGCATGATTACACCATACCCCAGGAGCAGCAGTAGCTATGGCAACTGAAGAGCATCTCCCAGCAACATAGCGCTGTCCAGGGCAGCACTTATATCAGTGCTTTTATCAGCACTTTACTGCTATTGGAGACAAAGCCTTACATGAAATTTCCTTCCACAGAACTATGGACTCAAGTTCCAAACTCTCAAATGTAGGGGCCTAATGCAGCAAGTGAATAAGCATTTCCCACTTGCTGACTCCCTATCCTGAAATGGGATTTGGGGAGATTGAGAAGCAATGTCTTTGAGGAGGATCAATAACCTTTTTGCATTTTTTAACAAAACTAGAGCAAGATACTGCTAGGGACCTAACACCAACACACTCTTGCACCAGGCAGGTGGGGAAAGGGTTGTGTCAGCAAAAGAGATGTCTGCAGGGTCTCAAAGACGCGGATGCTGAAGCAAGCGAACAACTCTATCTACAGTAGTTTCTGATGCTATTGCTTTCGCCTTTGATCGGTACTAGCAGGCCTCTGAGATTTTTGGCAGCCACAAATTAGCGTTTACACAAAATTTATGATCAAATAGGAAACTCCCTCTTCAAATACCGGAGACAAGAATGAACGACGGGGCAGCAAGGGCTGGGGAAACACGGCAGCCAGCATCAAAGGGGGCCGGCCGGACACACACCCACACCGAAAGGCCCAGGCGCTATGGGGCAGAGGGGGCTCACCTCCCTGACCGCGTTCCGCAGCTTGTCCTGCTACACAAAATTTATGATCAAATAGGAAACTCCCTCTTCAAATACCGGAGACAAGAATGAACGACGGGGCAGCAAGGGCTGGGGAAACACGGCAGCCAGCATCAAAGGGGGCCGGCCGGACACACACCCACACCGAAAGGCCCAGGCGCTATGGGGCAGAGGGGGCTCACCTCCCTGACCGCGTTCCGCAGCTTGTCCTGCGTGTCCTCCATCAGCTCCTCCACCTCGCGGAACATCTCGCTCAGACTCGCCTCCTCCCGCCGCGAGCCCGGCTCCGCTCCCACCGCCGCCGTAGGCGCCCCGCCGGCCCCCCCCC